TCTGCAAGGGGTGCATGATGAAAGTATTGTTCCCCTTATTTTCGACAGCGGTTACAAGCAATGATATGAAACGATACAACCTGCTCATCCGGGCTACCGAATGTGTGCCCTCCTCTCTGCTCTTCTTCTTCCTTCCTCCCAGTCCTGTCCTTCTTTGGTCTTCCTTCCAAGGGTGGCGGGCGAGACGGCACGGCGATACAATGGCATTTCACGGTAGCTGCCGAGCGTGATCCGTGGCGCGTCTACGCTTCCTGATACGCTTGATCATTACGCAAAAGAGAGGCTAATATAAAAGAATAAAATCTGCCAAGCAAATTAAATGACGCGAATTTTAACGCACGTTCGCAGGTGCGTTTGCACGCGCGCTCGTGTGCGCGCTCGCCTACGCGCTCGCCCTTCGAGCCGGCAGGAAGCACGAGTCCGCCGTCGACAAGTCCGCACAGTGACGGACAAAATGTCACGTCACAATGCATACAGCCATTTCCCTGATACAGGAACCATGGATTATCCGTGGGTGTGTCAGGAGTGTGGCAGCATGTGGGAAGCTCTTTACAGCTCCCACCAAACAGAGATCCAGGGCATGCATAGTGGTCAGGGGGCTGGATGCACGTCTCTTGCCTGAGGTGTGTTCCAGGGATCTAACGGCGATAGAGGTGACGACAACTGGTAGTGCTGAAGGCACCAGGAGGCTTATCATCTGTTCCTACTTCCCACATGGAGAGGAAGTGCCACAGAAGCTAATCAAGCTGGTGGAGATCTCTGCCAGAGGAAAGGACTTCTACTGTTGGTGGTGTGTGATGCTAACGCGCACCACATTATATGGGAAAGTATCGACACGAACGAAAAGGTAAGGAAGTTGCTGGAGTATCTGGTCACAACCGATATGGAAGTTCCGAATAAAGGTAATGAACCCACCTTTTGCGCGACGAAGAGGAGCGATGTATTAGACCTCACTCTCTGCTCACGTGGATCCGTGCGAAAGGTGATGGAATGGAAGGTGTTGGATGAGTCCTCGCTCTCCGATCACAGGCTAATAATCTTCAGACTTTCAGGTTTTAAAGTGGAGGTCAAGAAGGTAAGGAACCCAAAGAGGACGGACTTGGGACTCCTATCAGAGGGACCTGGGAATGAACCTCAGGGATTTTCCCAAGAGATATGGCACGGCGGGGGAGCTGCAGCTCTGCGTGGATCATCTGCAAAGGGCTCTGGTCGGCTCCTACGAAGCGAACTGCCCGGCGAGGAGTTATCAACAACAGGAGAACTCCCTGGTGGAATCTATGGCTGCAGAACCTCAGGGTCAAGGCTCGAAGGACCTGGAACAAGACGAGGAACACGGGCCGACCCTCCGACTGGTATCTTTACAGGAAAATCCAGAAGGAGTACAGAGATTCTGTAGTGGAGGAAAAGAAGAAGAGCTGACGGGATTTCTGCGAGTCAGTGGCGGTACACCGCCAGGCTTTGCAGATTTCTGTCCAGGAACCCGGATGCTGCGTTGGAGACAGTCCGAGTGTCGGACGACACTATAACATCCGGGGAGAAATGCCTGGTGCACCTTCTGGAGATCAATTTTCCTGGTTTCCAAGAGGGTATGGATAGGTGCTGGGAAGTTAACACAGGTTCTTTCAGGGCATGTGCCAACGATTGGAAATTAGCGGCCGAAATTGTGAGGCCAACCAAGGTCAGATTGGGGATTGGCTCCTTCCAACCATTCAAGTCGACGGGGCCTGACCTTGTTTTCCTGGCTCTCCTTCAGAGAGGGCTGGAGTAGGTGATCGGGCCCCTCACGAGGGTGGCTAAGGGCCTGTCTGTCCCTTGGTTACATCCCCCGAGCGGAGAAGGGCAAGAGTCGTCTTTATCCCCAAAGCGGGGCGGACAAATCACGTCACTGCTAAAAACTTTAGACCACTCAGTTTGACCTCGATCCTTTCTAAAACGTTGGAAAAGTTGATTGATGTATATATCAGGGATTGTGTGCTGACTCAGTATTCGTTGCATGCCAAGCAGTACGCATACCGGGCTGGCCACTCGAGTATATCGGCTCTCCACTCGATTGTTTACAGTATTGAACGGCAACTTCAGCAAGGAGGCTTTTTTTTAGGAACCTTCCTGGATATTGAGGGGGCCTTCAACAACTCCCACATATCGTACCGGTGAAATTCGTGGAGTGGATCTGAGGAATGCTTAGACGTCAAGTGACGACATCACTGAGTATGGTGAGTGTCGAAGGATGGGTGGAGAGAGGCTGTTTCCAAGGAGGAGTCCTATTCCATTCCTGTGGTGCTTAGTGGCAGATAGACTGTTTGAAGAGCTTCAAGGCAATCAGGTACGCTGATGATTTAGCGATCCTGATAGGAGGTCTTTTCCTGGAAACACTTCTTGAGCTCACCCAAGGGGCTTTAGGGGTGGTAGAAAAATGGCGTGACCCAGAAAGCAGAGTAACGTTTTAAAAATGTATTTAAAACGTACATGTTGGACGTTTTGGACATATTAAAAACATCCAGATTAGATCTATGGATATTTTAAAAACGTTTCAAAAACATCCAGTGTTACCATTTTGGACTTTTTAAAAACGTCCATTTTAGGATGTAATGGACTAAAACTGGACCAAATTAATACATCAAACAAATTTTGGACCACAATCAAGACAAAATGATTCTTATATGAGTATTATAATTGATTAATATCTTATTCCATAATACATATCATAAAATTATAATAAAGAAAAACATTTTTCCTTCGGGAAAAATATTTTTCTTTATTATAATTTTATTCGGGAACTAATTTCATAGTGCTTCGAAATGGTCACCCATCCAGTTATATACCGCCATCCACTATGCTTGACTTCTGAAATCGTATGGAAACCGTTACACTTCGATAATCCACGAATACCTATATAATCATGGATGTATAATTACGATACATTTGTTCAATATGGTCCTAATAGAAATTTGTGCAGTTCAACTGAATATCCAGTCAGTTACTGTCTAATATTTAATCTTTATATTATTACGACTATTTTCAGGTTAGGAAATCATACGCTGTACTTTCACAATACCAGTTATTATGTACAGTAACAATATGGTAGCGGTATTTTGTGAGGATATCGTGGGATATCGCATGCTTGGTTATCTGGGTAGATTTTTCGTCGTTGAAAGTTTTCATCACAGCACAGATGTCCTAGGGACGTCCATGGGACATTCAAAAGATGTCCGTACATACTAACAAAAGTGAAATCCCTCGTGCGGCCTTAAAAAAATTTTCACTTGTCAAATCAGCGAAAGCAACACGTCGCGAGCAGATTTAGAAATTTTTTTGTATGAGATGAATATTTTTAAAATGTCCAAATGTGAACATACTTTGTACGTTGAATAACGTACGTTTTTAAAACATTCGTACTATGTCCATTGACGTTTGGACCAGATTGAAACCAAATCTGGATATCCAATGGATGTCGTGTGCTGTCTGGGGAAAGGACGTCTATTGGTTAATCCAAACAAGACAAGTCTTGTGATTTTCACCCGCAAGTACAAAGTGGAGAGGCCCGTATTGGAAGGAGTCAGACTGACTCCCGAAATGTCAGTCAAGTATCTGGGAGCTATCCTGGATAAAAGACTGAACTGGAAGCTGCACTCGGTGTGCAGGAAGGCCTGTACATACTTTTGGATGTGCAGAAGAACCTTTGGGCAAACTTAGGGACTTCAACCGGACAGGGTGCTCTGGCTATATTCAGCGGTGCTCCGACCAAGATTGCTCTACGCTGTGGTGGTCTGGTGGCCAAGGACACAGTTAGCTGAGGCTCATGCATCGCTGGAACGCGTCAGAACCCTCATTCTAAGAGAGGCTGTGGGAGCAATGAGGACAAAACCGGTGGCGGCAATGGGAGTGCTGCTCGACATCAAACTTCATCACTATCCCTGCGATAGTGGCGGTAGCAGCGGCCACTGCGTTAGGTTGAAGTGCGAGGGTAAATGGTCGATTGGTGTGGCTCACACACGGCTACCGCGGGTGCTTCAGATGGAAACCGTGTTTGAAATGAGGCAAGACAGGATGCCAATAAGGCGCGACTTCGATAGATCTTTCAAGATCTATCTTCCTAGTCGCGAAGATTGGGAGAGGCATGAGAGGCCCGCTGTAAGAAATGAGGACGTCTGGTACACAGATGGCTCCAAGACTGACGGGGGCGCCGGTGCTGGGATCTACGGAGGCCTTAGTGGAGTCAGGGAGGCTCTTCCTTACGGAGAGTTTACCACTGTATTCCAGTCGGAGGTGGTTGCAATCATGGGCTGTGCTCAAACGCTGATTGCATCAGATGAGACGAGCAGGCGCATCTGGATCTGCTCTGATAGCAGGGCGGCCCTGGAGGCGCTGGGGGCATACGTCTTTGACTCTTAGCTGGTCTGGACAGTCTGTCCATGGACAACGATGCTCTTGTATGGGTTCCGGGACACTTGGGAATCGAAGGCAACGATATTGCTGATGAGCTAGCAAGAAGCGGCTCAGCAGCCGGTCTGGTGGGACCGGAACCAGCTCTAGGGTTGCACAGCTGTATTGGCAAGGCAAAAATAAAGAGTTGGTTGCGGGACCGCCACATCGGCTATTGGAAGGACGAAACAAGGACCAAGTGCCGGCAGACGAGGGAGAGCTGCTCAGCAGGGACCTTGCTAAGAGTATTAGGGCCTTGAGAAGAGGGGAAGCCAGGTTGGCGATGCAGATCTACACGGGCCATGGCTTCACCAACGACCATATGCACAAACTGGGGCACAGCGATAACCCGAAGTGTAGAAAGTGCGAACACGAAGAAGAAACCACTCTCCACGTGTATGTGAATGTCTAGTATACGCTGGACACAGGCAGCTTCTATTGGGCTCGGTATTTCTCGAGCAGGTATATCAACTCCAGGGACCTCCTCCGTTTCTGGAGAAAAACAGGTTCGTGCTGACCCGGAGTTAGTGTGGCTGGAAAGACACAATGGACCTCGTCTGCGTGTCGTTGGTGGGCCCCAACTGGAGGCTGCCTCCCGAGTATATTATTATTATTATTATTACTATTATAGTTAATTTTTACAATATCATTATTGTCATTAATTTATTTATCCGCATTTTTAAGTTTCAGTGATAAATTTTTCAATCTTAAGTCAATCGTGTTAAATATAAAATCAAGTAGGTAGTCATTGTTAAGAAGTGTGTTGAATAATAAAAATGAAATTATCTTGATAAAATTTTGGATGTGAAAGCAAGATCATTCTATCCACCATGCCCATAACTGTTCCTCTTTTTGAGAATCTAGTTATGTGCCTTGAAGAGCGAAACATTTAATATTGTATTTCAACGCTAAAGATGGCTCAAAGCGGAGCCGAAACGTTCATTTGTACAAATTAAGTTTAATATATATTCATAGTTACGCATGGACAACGTACTCGTGTCAATCACTGAACTATATATACTATATATACGTTCATCAGAAAAAGCAGCTTTGCAACTGTTGTAAAATTCTTAAATATGATTAGTTTATACATTTAGATCCAATGGAACTAAGGACAAAACCAGAGAATTCCAGAAAGATATTCTTTTCGGTACAATAGCAAAATCCT